ATAATAAATCATGTTGCAATCCCTTCACAAAAGCTTTCATGATTCAATACTATGATTGTACTGCTTCAGGCGATGGCAAGTAAATAAAGGTATTTTTATGGAAATTTAAAGAAAATACATATAAATAAATGATTTTTATAGAAATTTAAAAACAAAGTGCTACTTATTATCATAAGTTAAAGGGGGGGAGCATAAACCTAGAATTTAATTTTAATTCTGACTTTATGTCTGCCCCTTTAACTTTCGGAAAGAGGTAACACTATGCTTTTAATTTTCCTTGAATATCATTTAATTACCAGTTATTTAACATCGCCTGAAGAAGAACAATCAAAGTATTGAAACATGAAAGCTTTTGTATATGGAATTCAACATGTTTTATTATAATCTCTTAATAATAATCATAATATATATATATATATATATATATATATATATAGGTCTTGCGCACGTCAGAGAATTACTCAGAACATTCTTCTTACTATATATTGACCTTGTGCCAGAGTTATCCAGGTTTAATAAATGTCTATGTAAGAAGCGATCAATTCCCTGAATGCGTGCGTTTATGCATGTCTATCAATATAAAGATCTAATGGACACGTGTGCGTATAATACGCTTCATCATGTGTGTGTTTACGGTGTGTGTGTCTGAGATAGAGAGAGGGGAGAGAGAGAGAGAAAGCGGAAGATGTCTATCTAATTCAGACAAGGTATTAGTCATAGAAAAGTTCGTAGACGATTTGTCAGTACAAACCCGTTTTCCAGACAATGCTACTGAAATGCTACTGAAATGATTGGATTAATTCCATGCAAACTAAGTTGTTTTCACCTGGATCAGACATGCAACTCTTGTCCGTTAATTGGATTCTCTGCATCATTTGCACCAAGTCCCGGAGACGGTAAAAAAATTATGGCAGGTGGTTCGCGATGGTGTGAATATCAGTAACAAGTATGAGTGATTTTATTGGGATTATGAGGTCACAAAGAAAAGGTGTGAAATAAAAACAAAACGAAAACAAAAACGGAATTACTACCGCATTTTAAGTAACTTAGAAAACATCTCACTAAAAAAAGTTATAATTTTTACTATATTGTTATTTCAAGTCGAATTTTTCACTCTCTCACTCTTCACACACATACTTACACATACTTGTCTATGCATGAATATACATAAAAACATAGGTTTTCCATAATTTTATGTAAACCTGTTATGTGCTATATTAATAATCACAAATCCACAGCGTCCTGGGTAAGATGATAAACTACATCTGCGTCCTGGGTAAGACGATAAACTACATCCGCGTCCTGGGTAAGACGATAAACTACAACCGTGTCCTGGATAAGACGATAAACTACATCCGCGTCCTGGGTAAGACGATAAACTACATCCGCGTCCTGGGTAAGACGATAAACTACATTTGCGTCCTGCGTATGACGATAAACTAAATCCACGTCCTGGGTAAGACGATAAATTACAACCGTGTCCTGGGTAAGACGATAAACTACATGCGCGTCCTGGCTAAGACGATAAACTACATCCCCGTCCTAGGTAAGACGATAAATTACAACCGCGTCCTGGGTAAGACGATGAATTACAACCGCGTCCTGGGTAAGACGATAAATTACAACCGCGTCCTGGGTAAGAGGATAAACCACATCCGTGTCCTGAGTAAAACGATAAACTATATCCGACAACAAGGCTCTTGATCGGGAGGTTTTGATGAGCGTGAAACCACTTCTTAATTGCTGATGTTCCCATATCCTGTTAGGGTACCAGCTATGGGTAAATAGTTTACCCCCAATCTGGGATCAAAACGTGTAAAAATAGGTTTTAATACCATCAATACCTTTTTCTAAAAAAATGATTACCAGCAATGCATTTTCGGAGAAAAACGTATTAACAGCAATACATTATTATCAGCAATACTTTTTTGGAAAAATTATTATCAGTAATAGATTTTTGAAAAAAATATTACCAGAAAACTTTTTGAAAAAAATATTACCAGCAATAAAACTCTTATCAGCATTAAATAACCTATGGAGGTTGATATGCCGTAAAACAAACCAAACCAAACAAATTCATATATCGTGGATAAATGGCTTGGTCTCTGTCACACTAGCAGTTTAAAGACATTTAATTCTTTTACATCGCAGTTTGTTTTAAGAAAATGCTTTGTAAAATATTCACTCCCTTTTTCTTTACCAAACATTGTGTCATGTTACTGCGACATTTGCCCAGATGATGGGTCATAAGGTAAGAAACATTTTAATTCGAATTATTTTATATAATATATTATAATGATGAATATATAATCAAAAGTACTAATAGTGGTAGTTAATAATTTTGGAGTACACTAACATACTTTAGTTTATACGTGGCAGGTGTAGTGGTAGCGTACACAGTGGATTAAAGAAAAAATGTTGTTCTCCATGAAAACGCAACGTCGTATCCTGCAAGAATAACAGAAAGAAAACATTAGAAAATGTGGAGGAGCATGGTTGTTTAGAATTTCATCATTCTAGATCCGTAACATTGTAATTCTTAAATAAAGTCGGGGAAAATAACGCGCCGCATTGCGCTTATCAACATTGAAAGTGGAATAGGAGTTCAAATTCCTGCTGTGACCGTTGCGTTACCTTTTGCATTTGTAAATGTCTGACTTTTGTTCATCGTCTTTTGAAGTTGTAAAGGTCTGACTTTTGTCCATCGTCTTTTGCAATATTAAAGGTCTGACTTTTGTTCATCGTCTTTTGCACTTGTAAAGGTTTGACTTTTGTCCATTGTCATTTGCACTTGTAAAGGTTTGACTCTTGCCCTTCGTCTTTTGCACTTGTAAAATTTTGATTTTGTTCATCGTATTTTGCACTTGTAAATGTCTAACTTTTGTTAATCATCTTTTGCGCTTGTAAATGTCTGACTTTTGTCCAACGTCTTTTGAACTTGTAATGATCTGACTTTTGTTCATCGTCTTTTGCACTTATAAAAGTCTCACTTTTGTTCATCATCTTTTGCACTTGTAAAGGCCAGACTTTTTTCATCAGTTTTTGCACTTGTAAAGGTAAATCTTTTGTTCATTGTCCTGCAGCTATGGGATAAATAGAAGGACGAACTTGGGCAAGATTATCTTCGGAAAAAAGACACCTCTGAATTCGAAACGGGTTCGGCGTGTGGCTAGCTCTTCCAATCCGTAAAACCTCCATACGATTGAAACTACTGCAGCGCGTGTTGAGGATGTGGCGTTATACTCCACATAGTGTTCACAGATGTGAGAGATCGACGCGGAGAAAATAAAGTTTGGTAGAAGTAGAGCTATCTAATATTTCTATGATGAGTCATGAAATGACAATAACACCAAAAGGAAACACTCAGATTGAATATATATTTGGTTGGAGGCACCTCGACGTGTTGTAATAGATAGAAAGCTTGTTTTGCTTGATTAGTTACGACTGAGTTGTGAGTTCGATCCTCATTGGGTGTCCCATACTTTCGGCCTTGTGCCATATCTACGCCGCGCTTAGAAAATCAATATATTTGGTTGTGTAACTGTATCTATAAAGGATTTAGTCACTAAAATCAGAGAGAATTTGATCCACACTGGCTGGGTACTGAATAGATTATAGCTAGAAAAATAAAATTTAACTGCAAAGTTTTGTCATGTGTCAAAGCGAGAGAAAAAAAAAATTAAATTACAGTGACAGAGTAAAGTTGTCAAATCAAAGTTTTGTGAGAAACCGCGTAACCGCCGGAGAGGTCACGAGTTCCTTGACTTCTTTCAAGTGATGCCTGGTTCATCTTTGTTGAAACGGTATTTTCCACACGTGCAAACTGTTGATCTCAGATGAACATTAAGGATTTCAAATATTCCTTTCAAAACATGCATACTCTTCCTACTAGGATGAATGACTTTAACACATATATAACTTGTCTTTGCGCCAGAAAAAAGATGGCCTGCAAATTTTACTTTAAACGACGGTGAAATTTAAAGGTTTCTATCACTTTTGAACATATCCAATCTTTCCATTTATATTAGAATATAACTTGGTATCCGTATCAGTCATTTGCCATACGCGATACACGACTGGGTGATAATATCTCTTGATTCATGAATGACTAGGAAGAAGATTTCTCGCAGTAGGCTGTCGTTTCTTTCTGCGGTAGATTCATTGCTAAATGAGGTTATAAAATCCCGTCTATTCTGCTTGCTGGTGGTGGGTGGGGAGAACAATGTGATTGATACTGTCATTTGTCTTTCTTTCTTTATTAGCGGCTGCCTAAGTGCAATTTATTTCTACGTTAGACTAACTAAAGAGGTCCTCATAGCCCAGTGCATGGGCCAGCAACCTTTTGATATGCGCCGACTTGGGGTTTTAAAATCATTCCCTGTGTTACAGCAGACGTATTTTTGTACAAGTCAAGGTCATTATACAAAGGAAAAAGATGAGAAAAAACAAGGGGTATAAGTTATTGAATAATTAAAAATGTTCGTGATAGCTTGCTGAGATATTTCCTTGAAACAGTTCTTTAAGCGAGTAGTTTTAGAATTAATAAACGACTCACGTTCTTAGAAAGGTTCCCTTGTTTATTATTTGGTGTCTTTAGCGGTGCTTTTAGAAGATAAAACAAGCAGGGAGACCAACTAGTGAGCAGTTTTGAAATAGATATTTTCTTTGAGTTGTAGTAGTTATCGGTTCGGACTTCGTGATGTCATTTGCGACTGGGTGTCATTGGCTATTGCTTGGTGTGCCACATGTGGCACGTGTGCCGTAAGTTCCCGCTGATTTTTTCAGACCTTTAACTCTCCAGTGTTCTTCTTTGTCCAGTGCGGACTATAGTCCAAATGTAACGAGTGTAAATAATGATAAATTCAGACGGAAATTATCGATTACATGCATTATTTACATTATTCGGGCTGTTATCCTCATCTTCATTGCCATATTCACAACGTTTCGACCGTTGTACGCTGTGGCCTTATTCAGATGATGGGAATTTCGAAACGTCGTGAATATGGTACTGAAGATGAGGATAACAATTTGAATAATATGAATAATGCAAGCAATCATAATACCTCATCTCAGATATATATAGAGAAAAAATATCGAATCGGTAATGTGAGTCATTAATGGAGATGGTCGGAAAAACTCAAAATTGGCACCTGACATTAGAAACCTAAAGTTACTTCATCCAGGCTTATCAGTCTAGACATGAGCTAGTGCCAGGAGAACACAAAGGGTAGTGTATAGAGCAGGTCACGCCTTCGTAAGGGAAAGGATTCTCCACAATCACTGGAGAAAACATCAGCTAGAACATGAAATATCGGATCACACCTGAACATCACTTAGCAAAATAAAGCCTGAATCGGATTTATAAATTCAAGAATTCCAAAGGGTCAAGGATGGCCGCATACCTGAGCTATTATGGCTGAAAGAACAGTGATGGAGTAACAACGAAACAACAAAGGTTCGGTAAAGTTGTAAATATCTACAGTCGGCATTTGAGTGCCTCAGAGAAATAAGTGTTAAACAAGGATCTCAACTTCGCCACCACTATTAGGCGACTTCGAAACAGAAGAGACTGAATGGAGGAGATGGCTCTGAATATACCAAAGGTCCAGGCAAACGAACTAAGATGGAAAGTGAGACAAGCACTTGAAAAGGCCAAAGCGTCTAAATCAAACACCACAAGGAAAGAAGGGTTAGTAATCAAGAGCTAACAGTGACACTAACGTCACCACACGGACAAGGAATAGTCCGAAAAACTTGTTGGTGGTTGCAGGTATAGCAAAGTGAAAAAGGATCCAAACCTAAGAATTGCGAGTAAGCTGTCACAGATCCTTAATATTAAAAAGGACTACTTCGCCCTGAATAAGTAAAGACAGGTGACTCAAGGTTACAACAAGCTTCTACACATGTATATTTTCCCCCAAATTCGCAAAGCTGATATTCCATTGGGGGCTATAGTTATCCACCCGACGAGTAGATACTTTGTGGATATAATCAATCCACTAAGAGGGAAGTCCATATCTTATATTAGAAACTCAGAGGATTTAGTGAAATCTCCCATCCATAACAATCGGTTGGTAAGCTTAGAGAAGGTAAACCGATTCAACAGAGTTCCTAGAGATGAGGCCCTGACAGTGGTTCGAAACCCACTGGAAACAGACCTGTCCCTGGGAGAATTTTTCTAACATGCTAATAGAGAATCTGATGGAAAGGATGATGTTCTCTGTACAGACGAAATTCTTATATATATATATATATATATATATATATATATATATATTAAATTATATATATAAAGTGGACATTGAAGTTAACACCAAGAGGAAACAGATTATTTCATGCTAAACGCAATCGGCATGGCTTAGCAATGCCTCCTCTTCCCACTTTTATATTTAATTATGCTTTATCCCTGATATTGAGCACTTTAACCCATAAATATTGTATACCGCAAAACTATACTCTATCTTATATATATATATATATATATATATATATATATATATAAACCGATTATAGGATTGGTATATACGGAATAAATTCTAATAACTAACAAATACTATTCTTTAAAAAGTGCTGAATACAGAGTAGAGCAAAATAAAATCATTTATTCGAAAATTATAAGCATAGATATGTTATAAAATCACTACAAAAATAGCCATTTTGTTTCAATACTTCTGGACCCATGATATGTTGATATGCTATTTTTGTGGTGATTTTATAACATATTGATGTTAAAATTTTCGAATAAGTGATTATATATATATATATATATATATATATATATATATATATATATGTGTGTGTGTGTGTGTGTGTGTGTGTGTGTGTGTGTGTGTGTGTGCGTGTGTGTGTGTGTGGACTCTCCTATCGTCTTTTAGGCATGGTTGTTCAACAAGAGGTATTTTCTATGGTGGTCTTTCTTGTGTTTCTACATTCGATGACTGTGTATATTTATAAGTATATTCTGTGTATGCGTGTGAGTGCATAACAAATATACGTTACTTATATTTTATTTAATTTTACACATATATTGACATGTATGTGTCTGTGTATATATGTACATATATAGGCGTTACACTAGTCATCACTATATATATACATATATATATATATATATATATATATATATATATATATATATATATATATATATATATCGAGAAAGAGAGAGAAAAAGCGAAAACCGACCGATACATAGATAGATAGATAGATAGATAGATAGATAGATAGATAGATAGATAGATAGATGCTAATCTCGCAGCACCACTATCTGTAATAGGTCTTTTATGTCCCTCTTCCTTTTCTGTTAACAAAATCTATATAATGACATTGGTATTATATTATCTTTTTCTATTTATCGTCTAACGAAGTATTCTTCTGTGGGGATGTGACTTTCACATTGATGTACATTGAAATTCCCCTATTCTACAAACATTCCAGAAAACATTTGCAACCCTGACGTATGGTTGCTTGACGCGCCAACAAACACGTATCAATGACAGGCTATAATGACGCATAACGGAGGGGACCAATTTTTATGCAATTCCTTCAAAAATAAACAAATAACTAAAAGATGAAGGCAGGTGCACGCCTAATGAGGGGGCGGTCTTCATTAGCTTGTATTGGAAATATCGTGCCATACCTTTGCCGCTCGCTTCCAATGCTCAAGTCTTCTTCAAATTTCTTTTATTTACCTTAGCTCACCCCAACCCTAATGCGGACCATCTTTGGCAGGTTCTCGTTTCTCGGCTTTTCTCGTTTCCCTGCCCCACATGCAATTACTTTGTCTTTAACATATCGTTAGCATTTCCTTAGCTTTCTGACGCTTTTGCTTTCGAATTTGCTTCCTGAGGATGTAAAAATCGAGTGGAGGTGAAAAGCGAACAGAAAACGCTTTCTAAACAGGCTAGAAAATGTACTAATGCATATATAATATATATATATATATATATATATATATATATATATATATATATATATATATATATATATATATATATATATATATGACGGCTTTCAGAAAATAGCTCGGTGTTAAAAAGAGTATCTTTACTCGTCTTTTTGTTTGTTCGTGTTTCAAAAATTTTATAAGTGAATAGGTCTGCAAATTTTGTATTAATATATCCATGTGACGGCAGATAAATTAATGTATATATATATATATATATATATATATATATATATATATATATATATATATATATATATATATGACTTTTTCAGCCATTCTTTTTAAGTGACTTAATTTTTTGGAAAGCATGGACATAGTAGTTCCGCTCTGTAAACTTCTTCATATATAAGCTCTGTGTTATTTTAACCTTTGAAATCACTAGCTAAAAATGTTTGATAATAATTTTTATTTTCAATTTTTATTTCTTTCCTGATTTTTCTAAATTTATTATCACATATTATTATTATTGTTATGACGACACTTCATAATTTGTTTTTCTAACTCCCATAACATTACTCGCTTTATATATACAAAGTTCATCTTACTGTGTAGACTGAAATTACCGAGACAATTTTTTGTATTTCTATTAAGCTGGAAATTCGTGGGCTTTTTTCAATGTGTTGTTGTGTTCCTTTTTTATCATTCCAAGCGCACCTACTATGACTGGTACTATTCTTTTTTTTACAGTTTCCACATTTTTTTTTCTTTTTCGATTTCCTGTTCTTTCTACTTTGATAGTTTTTTTCATTTTCCTTGGTTCGTATGTTACAGTCCGCTGGCCAAGACATATCAATTTCTTTTCCGTTTATTTTTATTCCGACTATTTGCATCAATCTTCCGGTCTGTAAAGATGGTGTAATCTCGTAGAATTTAGGTGTCTTTTATTTCTGTAACCGGTGCAGAGTAATGCTCATACTAGCGATTATTAATATTTTTTCCAAAGTGTTTGCACATTGTACAATGTAAGTATTGCCCTATTCTATCGTGACGATTTTATATTCATTTGGCGAAAGTACAAATCATCCTGAGATTAGATGGTCTATGATTTCCTGATATTTGTCACAGAACCTGTATTTTGGACCCACACTATTATGTATCATATTTGCCTGAAACTTACAAGTGAAAAGACTCAGGTCTTTCGCTGCAAAACTAAACTCCTTCCGTTTCAGCCTTTAATCCAGATGCTCGTAACCATCGATCAGTTAAATTTATCAACATCGGCTTTATTATCACGATCTGGATATTGGCTATACAGAGGTTTGTCTTGCCAGCGTTGTTTCATCTGTTCAAGAGTTTTATCTTTGGTTTTCTTTGTTACACATTTTCATGACGGTCGGCCTCGAGTATTGAATCCAGGGGTTGGCAGTGAATATTTCGGAGACAGTAGGAAAGCGTACTTTAGGTTCGCAGTGGATATCACAGCAGAGTGTAGTTCATCCTTCTCCTGGTCGCCTTTGGTCCTTCCGGTAGAGGAAACAAGATGGCCGCCTTTATACACTATGAATACAGTGTTGGGCGGCTTCTGATTGGTCAACCTTCTATTGGTCGACTATAAAGGGAAATAAGTCATTCTGACTCGCTCTCTAGTTAGACGTGTTATATACCCAAAAAACCGTAACATTTTTTTTAATATTTTTTCTACAACAGTTGGTTCTTGGGTTTGGGTTTGGTTTTCTAGAGAATCTACTAAATGTAAATCTCGTTTGTATTTACAACCTTTCTTCATGACTGAATATGTTTACTTTGTTTGACTAATTGTTGTTTCCATGTATGTTAGTAAGTCTATAGTTCTTGTCTTGTATGATAATTCTAGCTAAGACTTCTTCTACCTTTTCTACGGGGTATGTATAAACGGTCTACATCAGCCTTTAGATGATTCATGTTATGCTTAGAAAGAAGCTTTCTTGTCTTAAAATCCATTTAGAGTCCAGTTCAAGATGTTGAAATAATATCGTACTACTTGGATGGCAAAAGATATTTATGGCCATGATTCTGTTCTGAGAATTCAATTCAGTTCTTAATATCAGTCGCACTATTCTATAGTACTATTTTCGCACTTTTTCTGTAATCTTTTTTATGGTGAATTCCTTCAATCTCACTCACACCGAGGTACTTATAAGCTCCTTCTCGCTCTAAGACTTTGAGCGTTACCCCAGATTCTAAGCTAATGGAGGAGTTTTGTTGTAGTGATCCTCGTAAAATTGTGGCATTAGTGCATTTATCCGAATCGGATTATTGTTATGACGACAATTCATGATTTGTTTTTTCTAACTCCTATAACATCACTCGCATTACATGGAGAAAGTTCTTCTTAGTGTGTAGACTGTATTTATCAAGACATTTTTTGTATTTCTATTAAGCTGGAATCTCGAGGGATTTTTTCAATGTGTTGTTGCCTTCCTTTTTTATCATTCCAAGCGCACCTCCTATGCCTGGTACTATTCTTTTTTTTTTCACATTCCATATTGCCGATGTCATCATTGAAACCTTCTAGCTCACTCTTATTCATAGCGTTCAACTTTAAGTGATCCATGTAAATTACATGGTTTATTTTCTTTTGAGTTATCTTATAGACATATTCCGTCCTGTTAAGGTCGGTGTTTAATGCTATTAGGGATATGCTAAATAGAAAGGAAGACAGAGTCAATTTGAAATATTCCACTGTTGATTTTTATTTCACTAAACTTATAGACTCCATTTATATGATTGAGTTTAAGTGTTATTTTCCATATCGCCATACCTTGTTTGATGACGACAGTGATACCTTGTATTTCGTTAAAGTCTTTAAGATCCAGAAATGTGGTACAATATTGAATGCCTTACGATAATCTATTCAGACAATACTGAGATTTTTCTTTGTACTGAAGCAGTTTTCAAAAATCATCCTATTAATTAGTAATAGATCTTTACATCCGTAAGAGCCACGTTTGCACCCTTTTTGTTCAAGATGTAGTGTGTCATTGTTTTCTAAAATTGAATACATCACTTATTTGAGAATAGATGTCAACAGTTTGTAAGTAGTGGGAAGACATGTAATTTGACTGTAGTTTTTTGGGATGTATGTGTTAACATTCTTATGTCGAAGGAGGGAAATTCCTTTGGTTACCCAAGCAGGAATGTTAGTAGAATTATTGACAATTTTCTGTTCTTTTGATAATTTTTGTGTGCTCTATTTAGATACTAGAGCGAAATGTAAGGAATTTCATCTATTCTTGGAGATTCCCAGGTGTGTCTTTTTCAGTGTACATTTAACATCCTTTTCTGTGATTCCCGACCATGTCTATTCTGGTTTAATTTTCATTCGTTCTACGCTTTGTGTTTTTTTTTTCTTTATTATATTCTTTAGAGCAAGGTCATATTTTTTCCGCAGAACTGTATAACCGCCTTCATTGTTAGTGGCTTTGTGACTTCAATTTTTTATTTGCCTATTTCTCTGTAAAATTTCTTCGCATCAGTTTGAAAGATCATTTTTTTTCTGTCTGTATAATCTTAATCTTTTTACATAGGATCGGATTCTTCAGTTGTATTGTTTTGGTTTATTTTTCTTTAGCTGATAGGACTTCATAGTCATTCCTAATTTTGTATTTTCCTTTTACTTTTGTGCTTTTTCTAGTCCTTATATTTGTTCCTCTTGTCACTTCATCGTGTATTGATAATTCACTTCTAAGTTGTTTAATTTCTTTCTCTTTTTTTTCTTTTCCAAGGTGGATCTTTATGTCTTTTAGACTGCATTCTTTTTCCCTTTGATGTTTAATGCTTTAGTTGCTTCTATTGCTAATGTATATACACTGCGTGCCAAATTATTATCGATATAACTTTTTTTCTAATATTTCAGAAACCGTCCAATCAATTCGCACAACATTTTCACACACTGTTGGCAACACTGACCTGCGCAATCACTGAAATTGTCGTACTGATCTGCGCAATGTAAACAAACTGGAACCATATTTGTTATCAGAACGGTGATTTGAGCGTGCCAAATTATTAGAAAAGTTTAGTACAATTCCCAGAATTGAGCAAAAGAAACGTTTATTAATGTTGCAGGTGAATGTTTATGATCAAAAGAAGCTAATAAATAAGATAATCAAACAAATAATAACAGATACAAACAAAGGCACAGTTTTAAACAAACTAATAGGGAATGTGTTTTCCCCGTTTTGAAATTACTTGAAAAAGTCGACGATCCATACAATTTGTTAATTGTAGGATGTCATCTGCTGTAATACCGCGAGATATGTCAAGAATTGCTTCCCACAACTCAGCGTTGCTCCTGAACTGTCGTCCGTTGGCGTACAGTCTTCGCATCATGATGCTCCAAAGGTTTTCGAATGGGTTCAAATCCGGAGAATTTGCTGGCCACTTCATTTTTCGAGGTCCATCGAAGCCTAACTGTTTCAAATATTCAGTAGTCTTGTGAGCAGCATGTGAGGGAGCATTGTCTTGCATAACAACAATGGCCCTTCTGAAGGCAACTCTTTACCTTTTCATCCACGGTTCAAGATGCTCCTTCATAAACGCTATGTATGCATCAGCAGTCATTTTGACGCCATCT